CCAGACTGCAGCTCTTGACAGCGATAGAAAGCCTCGTCTTTCTCCTGAGGAGCAGCTGGTGGTTTTGAACTGCTGACCTTATGGTTAGCAGCCCAACTCACAAGACGACTCCAGCAGGGCTACTGAAGAGTCGCTGGCTCTCTGGGCCCTTCGTCTCCAAGGACCCATAAGCCTGATCTAATCATGAGAAAATTAACAAGACCAACACACAATCAAGGGACAGCCTACCAAATACCACCCAAGCATACCCCTCAAAACGGAAGGTTGTTGAAAACATGAAAGACTGAGAAACCGTCACAGCCCAGGGCCCTAAGGAGACACGGCGTCTAAACGTTAACGTGGGATATCCTGGAAAAAGAGGAAGACTCCGGACAAGATGGAAAGAATGCATGGTTGCAACAATGGGCCCAAGATGAAGAACCACCGTGAGGCTGGCACACCGCGAGGCTGGCGCACCACGAGGCTGGCACACCGTGAGGTTGGCGCACTGCGAGGCTGGTACACCGCGAGGTTGGTATACCATGAGGTTGGTACACCGCGAGGCTGGCACACCACAAGGCTGGCACACCGCAAGGGTGGTAATTCATCCTGCCCTTCACAGGGTCGCTGGATGTCGGCTCCTAACAACGACATATCCTGGGATGGAACGGAAAAGGGACCATCGGTAAAACCATGGAGATCTGAAGCAAACAGGAGCTTTTAGCTCATAATAATAACGTATGGATACCGATTCATGAACCGTGACAAATGCCTCGTACTGGCACCTGGGCACTCTCTTTCTGCAGCGCTAAAGCCAGGCTAAAATGTAAAATGAATGTGTTTTGGGGACAAGGTAACAGGGGTGGGCGGAATGGCCCCTTTGGACGGGGCCATCCCCAAAGGCCTCGCCAAAAGAGCGGAGATCTGAGCCATGAGAAATAGGGGGCAGCCAGGACCCTGTGAAAGGCACAGCATCCACAGGGCCTCCGAGGTGGGAACAGAAAGCAACTCCCACAGTGAGCGCAGGTGCTGGAATTCAGGCCAGAACCCAAGGCCACTGCAGGGTCAGGGGAGGGCTTCAGCAGGGCAGGTGGCACTGCTCCTTGTCTGCAGATGTTCCTGGCTGCCGCTGGAAGAGGGCAGGGGACAGGTGAGAGGACAGGGACCCCAGCTCCAGAGCACATACAGCCCACCCATTTCCAGCCGCATGACAGAGGAGGCCACCAGGGCCCACAGAGAAAGACTAGCAAGGGATCCCACCGTAGATGGCTGAGCTGGGCAGGCTTTCTATCCTGGCTGACCTTGAAAAGTCTAGGCATCCGGCCTCAGATGCCTAGCAAGTCCAGGAAGTAAGCCTCCCTTGGTGCCAGGGCCTTGGTCAGTCCCGCTCTCCCTGTGCCTTACTAACGAGGCATTACCACGCTGCACCAGTTTCCTCTCTCACGCACAAGGGTGCTTGATTGTTGGCTGCCAGTCGGCCCAGGCCCCTGCCATCCCCTCGAAGGGGCTCACACCAGTCCCCTGTGATCCACGGAGTCTTTTCCTCATTGGCTGGTTCTTAGTAGATCACCAGGCCTTGCTTCCTGGTTCTCCTTGGTCTGGAAGCTCCACTATAACCTGTTCTACATCGGAGCAACACGCCAGCCTCCATCAGCACGCAGGCACTGGCTATGCACAAGGTGCACTGGCCGGGAGTTGAACCTGGGTCTCTGGCACGGAGGGCAAGACCTCTGCCACTGCCTCATCCGAAGGGGCCTGACGAGGTATACGTGAGGCTGCTAGGGTCAGAAGTAGCTCAAGGGCACTGCGATGGCAGGGAGTAAGCTCCTGGAACAAGCTGGAGCCTGTGGAAATACTTCTAGGGGTGGTTGTTTTCACAAGAAAAGCCCCCAGTGGAGGGCTGCACTCAGCTTCCCCCGCTCTACAGAGAAACAGAGGGGCAGTGACAGAAGGCAGCACTTGTCCAAGGCCCACGAGGGCTAGTGAGCACTGAGCAAGGACACGGACACACACACACACAGAGACACACACACAGCCTGCCAGACCACATTCGGTTTTGGTCACAACAGGGGCTGGGATGCAACCACACGGTACACACACTCTCCTTACCAAGGCCTCCAAATGCCTGTCAGGCTGGTTATTTTCCTTGCTCCAAAAATCCCCCATGGTTCCCCGCCATCACTAAGGTGCGGAAAGCCAGCCAGCCTGGTGTCCTAGGCTGGGTACCCCCCCCC